AAGTGGTGAGGTTCTGGGATATCTGCTTAGAGGACTGGGAAAGGAACTCGGCAGTGGGCAAGGAAAATATTGAACCGTTAGTGATCCAACTAATATTGAAGCATTAGTGATCAGTCGAAACCTTTATAATAAGTGCCAATCTGTATGACAGTGTGTTTTCTTTTCCCCAGTAACTCTCAGCAGCCTCAGCACAAAAGTGAAGTTTCATGTTGGATTCGCTCAGGGTAGGTTTTTGTAAAACAATTATAAGAGGAGGACAAAGGGTGAGTTTCCAGGGCTCAAACACAGCTTCGTGATTGAAATTTCTACAAGAAGCAAAGAGACTATTTAATAAAAGATTGAAGGTATAAGGGAATTTGTTCTTAATGGGACAAGTTCTAGCCATTAAGAAGGAAGGAATACAAAATACAGAAGTGAAGTTTACTATGCATCTCCTTTTTTGTTTTTTGGTACTGGGGTTTGAATTCATGACCTCATGCTTGTCAGGCAGGCGCTTATACCATGAGCTAAATTCCCAGCTATCAAGGTAAAGTATAAAGGAGATGATAAATGAGTAGAGAGGTGTTTCTTTGCATGCAGTATATCAGAATAATATAAAACTGTCAAGAAACTCTGAAGAGATTATCTGATTGCTAGAATTACAGTCAAAACTCAGCCATACTCAGTGGATCTCAAGGTCAACTATTGTGCATGTCTGTAGAACTGTCAACATTGTTCACAGTTCCAATAGTATATGGAAGATCCACTTAAAAAGGCATACTCATTTGGACTTCTGTTTTATTTAAATACAAATGTATTGCTAATCAGGCTGAGTCTTAGCCTAAGATTTAGGTTAGAGCAAATCTTAAAATTGTTACTTTAATATAAATGAATCCAAGGCATTGTGCATACAAGGCAAATGTTCTACTACTGAGTTATACCCCAAGTCCATTTCAGTCCTTATACTTGAAGACTCACTCTTGAGCTTCCTACTCTTGCTTTGGGAGCTCCTTTAAATGCTGCTCCTTTCATGATCCCATGTAAATTCAGTACATATTCTAGAATTTGTGCTTAACCAGTACTAGATTACTATTTCTTACTTACATGCCTGTCTAGCTAAAATTTGAGATGCTCAACAGCAAAGAACATGCCTTTTACTTATTCTCATGTTCTCCAGCACCTGCTTTGAACCTGTATACTTACTAACCATCCTTGATGGAACATTGTAAGTTTACACCATTTAATCTTTGCAAGGAAAAAGAGCAGATAGGGAGAAGGAAAAGAACAAGGAGAAGAAGGAGAAAATAAAAGGAAGAGAATAGAAAGGATGATAAAGAAAAAGGAGAGATGAGGAAGGAAAGAGGGGGCAAAGTAGACAATGGAGAGAGAGAGGAAAGGAGAGATCCACACCTAGTTGGGAGGCAGATGTAAGAAGCATAATTTTACAGAGCTATGAACATAGAGAAAGCCCAGCTACTTAGGGAACTTTTAGCAATGTTTATAGATAGCAGGGTCCACCACAAGAGTAGAGACTGGAGAGGTAAGCTAGGAATCAATCCTGCAGATCCTTGGTTATGACATAAAAAACTTGACCTTTTAACATATGAGTAATGAAGGACCATAGGGTAGAAAAATCAATTGGTGGGGACAAAACTGTTGTCATTGAGACTAAGAAATACTGATGCCTTGGATTGAGTAGTTTGTGGAAATGAAAGAAGAAAGATAGATTTAAGACAAGCTTAAGAGCTAAAGAGAAAGTGACTAATGTATAAATAAAGCAGATGACTATGAGATCTTTGGTGTTGGCATCTGGGTCATTCTTAATTACCTTGTAGCAAGAGTATGCATTGCTTAGAGCAGGCAGGAACTAAAGGGTGCCCAAAACGTGATAAATTATGATTTGGGATATATATCTGTGAAACTGACTCAGTCGTCATAGAAATATCAAATTTTTTACTTTACTTTTTATGGTTTAATATCATTGGAGAGAAGAATCATAATCTCTTCAGGGCTTAGAATCTCCCAAAGGAGGACTAGTCTAAGGCTTTACTCCTCTGCACTGGGTGGCTCCAGGTCGTTTACTCAGACAGAGAATACTGCCTGTTATAATTGGTCTTGAATGCAGAGAATGACATGATTGGTCTGGCAATTTGGTGGCCTTCTAGTGATATATCATTAAGCTAATTCTGTATATAACTCAGCCCATTTGAAGTGTTGACATTTAAGTGACTAGTTACAAATGTGCAGCCAATACTATCCTGTTAGAAGAGTTTATTTACTGACAATGAGGGCGTGAATGTATACTGGTATAAGGATTAGAAATATAGATTAAGGTAGGGAATGTAACCTGGAGTCCAGAGTAATTATGCATCTGTGAAAATATATGAAAAATTGTGTGTATACGTATACTGAATTTTTTGAGCAGAAGTTTCACAGATTTCTTCAAATTTTCACAGTGGACTTTGAGCCCAAAAAGATTACCAAGAGCTGGCACTGGAGCAAAATGTACAATACATATTGTGAAACAGGAAGAACTTGTTCAAAATGAAAAAAAGAACCAGGAAGGGGGACTGGGGAAAGAAAGGAAGGGAAACAAAAGGAACACTAAAAGTAAGATAAAATGGAAATAAAACATAAATAAGGCGGGAAAGAGGACTTGAAGGGAGGGGATGGGATTGGGAAAAAAAGTGAATTCAAAATATATCATGTACAGGTACAAATTCCCTGTGATAAATGTGATCATTATGTATATCCAAATTGTATCAATAAATTTATTTTTGAAAAAGCTAATGAAGTTGCTTTGTTAGAGTTAACTCACTTGCCAGGAACTCTTCCAAAGCCCTAGCCGGCCCCTAGCAATTGTTTATTGTTTTTATTTAAAAGGAGGTTCCTCACAGATTACAAATAGTCCCACAGTATCTGGATCCATCCCTGCCAAGCACAGATTAGAGAATTACCTACCGTGAGTTAGTATCTGGGAGTTGATTCAATTCAGGAAGAATGAGTGTAGAGAAAGATTTCAGAGGGGCATAGACTGACACTAGAAATGGCACAAGACAAACCAGCAACGTAAAACTGGTTACAAAGAGAAAGGGAAACTCAGATATGGTCCAGAAAGTGGAAAGAGCAGTAGTTAACTGTGTCTTGTATGAATGGCAGAGTGGAGAAAATAAAACAAAGATTATGGGAGTTAGTAAGACACTTTCAGTGGAGTGATAGCACAGAAAGCTGGTTGTTTCTGCTTTTCTGAATAAGCTGACATGAAACAAGTATAAATGGTGTGCTTGTTTACTTGCAGTAAACAAGTATGCAAAGGAATTAGGTGCAACAATATAAAGCTCTAAACTGACTGTTAGGATAATCATCAATAAGGTAAGCTTACTATAAAATCAGAATCATTGCTGAGTTAAGTTAGATGACATACGTGGACTTTTTAAAAATGTGTTTCATAGCCAGACAAAGGCTTTCAGTGAGTTTTGTCCCTTTGCCCCTAATGTTTCTTTTCTGCTCCTATGAAGTTCCTCTTAATATTGAATTCCTGTATTTCTGCCCCTCTTCCCTGTCCTCTAGCAGACATACCCAACGAAAAACAGTGCAAAGAAAAGAAGCCGTAAGAGTGGCATTTAAATATGAGAGATTTTTAATTTAAAATTTCTCACAGTTAATTTATAAAATATGTAATTTGTATTAGATTAATTCCATGTTATCTATAATTCAAGCCAAAGAAACATCTAGTTTTGTCTGAATAAACCAGGTCCATGCTGGCTTGACTGGTATTAGGAAACTGAGTATTATTTATTTAGTGCAGAATGTAGTCTTGGCAGAGATACATGCTCAGATCTGTTGATATGACTTTTATGGAAGCTACCAAATGACGTTTTGGAGTATTTCTATTGTACCTTCCTCCTGGGAACTATTTCCAAATGTATTAATTTCATTATAGCTCCTAACTTGATTTCCTTGCTCATTGTATCTTTAATAGCTTTTGACTTATTAACTAGCAATATGTGTCATAATTATGTCATTGTTAAAAACCAACTACTTTAAAAAGGTAGTAATTTCAAAATGTCTAATACAAAAGGATGTAAAGATTGCTATAAACTTAGAGTAAACCAAAAAACTGCTTTGAGATATCTAAAGACTAATAAAATTAATTCAGTAAAAAGCACCAATCTGTGGTTTTTACCAGCAATGTACTAGGCAGGAAGTTAATACAAATGGTTTTAAACTAAACAAAGTTGTGTAACACCGCGGATTTATAATACTATCTTTTTTAACAAGAAGACCAAAATATGCTTCATGTCATAAACATGTAAATTAAGAAATTTGCAACTTCTTTGTATTTTTCATTATTGGATATTAAACCCAGGGCCTTTGCACTGAGCTGCATCCCCAGCCTTTTAATTTTTTTTTTTTTTTTTGAGACAGGATTTCACTAAGTAAAACACACTGGCCTTGAACTCACTTATGTAGCCCAGGCTGGCCTCGAACTCATGGTGATCCTCCTGCCTCAGCCTCCTGTGAGTGCTGGGATTACAGGAGTGCCCAACTACAAAATTCTAACTTCCTGATGTTCATTCAGAGTTGGCATGGAAAAATTTCTAATGCTTTTTTGAGGTGCTTTCCTTGCCTACTCTCTAATACCAAGCCTTAGCTTGATGTGAGTGTGAGAAAGAGAACAGGAAAGAAAAGTGTTTGCCTCAGCAAAGGCAGTTAAACACAATGTACTCTGAAACTTGTTGATGGTATCATTATATTGGTAAAGGACATAATTCAGTCTGATAAATGGTTTTGTTTGAATTGTATTTTGTAAATTTTTACATAATTTGGACATAATCATTTTCATCAAACTCAACCATTCCTTCAAATAAAATGGGATTTTTCTGGAGTTAGAAATTGCTAAAATTTTATTGGAATCAATTTTCTTTCAACTTTATAATGGTTTTGATGAACCTACTTGTACAACTTATGAAAGGAAAAATTAAACCTCAAATAAATGCGTGTTAACATTTTGCCTTTAGCAAATAAGAAGAAAGAGAAAGAACGCCCAGAGATCTCTCTTCCTTCAGACTTTGAGCATACGATTCATGTGGGGTTTGATGCAGTCACCGGGGAATTCACTGTAAGTAAGCTCCTTGTTTCATTTTGTAAGCCATAAAAATATCATTTGTGAAAATAGATTTCAAGCAAGAATGACCATGTCCCAAAATATAGACTCATTTTTTTGATGATTGGATGCAATATTTTGATGATCACAAGCAAAATGCCTAGACGTCTCATCATAGATGGAAACAGAAGGTGGCAAAAACATTGACAAAATTATTTTATCCATTTTAACAAAAAATTCTGATCACTGTATACTCTTCAACTTCTGAAAATTTTAATTCACCCTGGCACAGCAAATGTAGTTCTGGTAAGGAGACCCTACTCGAACCTGTTCCTTATTCTGAGAAGTAAATTGGAGAGTCATCTACTCAAATTGGCCAGTGAAGACAATCTATTTGAATAATTCAGGCTTTACAATTGGACCTGAATTACTCAGATCAACTACACTAATCAAAAAATCTGTGCAGAATTGGTCTGACCTTCCACGTGACTCCAAAAACACAGATTTTATTTTTAGGATTATTAATAGGTGTATGTAGACATCCAAAACAAGTCCCATGTTTCTGGAAGAAATACTGATGGATAAATCATGTGTTCTTTAGTGCTTACTTTGTGAGCACTATATATATATGTGTGTGTGTGTGTGTGTGTGTGTGTGTGTGTGTGTGTGTGTGTGTCAAGGCATTCTTTGAATATTTGTAGTGCTTAAATAACACAAGACCTCAGGTGTATGATGTCGTTTTATACTTTTCTTTTAAATGGGCACTTTCTCTTTTATATAGGAAAGGAAAAACGTGGTGCTAGAAATATGTCCCTAGGAAGCTCAACTATTTATTCTATGCTATTACGGAACTCAGTTAAAATGTATATTCTGAGCTAGTGAATAATTTTAAATAAATTCAGAAAAAAAATCTTTGATAAGACCATCAACATCAATTCCTGGCTTATTAAACCGAAAAAAAAATATAGATATCAAATACATTTACTGCCTCCAAACAAGATGGTTAGTGAACTGACTGTGTCATATGATTAAGTGGAAAAAAGAAGGGATAAATCAGTTTGACTTGGAGAAATAAACCACATAGCTGAATTGACAGCCAAATTATCTTTTGTTTAATACTGGAAGTAAGCAATAAGAATAAAATACAAACAAAGTAAACATCCGGCCCTTTTAAAGTTGTGTGAGCAGATTATTTCTGCATTCTCAGTAGCAAGCAGAAGAGAATGTAAGAATCAATGCACTGTAAAATTAAGATAGTATTTAATGAATTCCATCATCAGAATTGGAGACATTATACAAATGCCCTTGAGTTTCTGCACCACCTTGTTATACAGAATATTCTCTTAGCTCCATTTAGAAACTGTAATCTTGCTGTCAACATTGCCACTATCATGCCCACCAGATAAAAAGTGATTTTTATAATGTGAAAATCTGTATTTGTTTAAATATTGCAAAGAAAGAGATTTGTGAATATTATTCTGCAACTTGAAACAGGAAAACCCTTTAAATTTTATAGAAGTTTTATCGATTACTTTTTATCTTTTTATTTTTAAAAATTTTGTTACCAGTTTTGACATTTTTCTCCCCTGTGCTCCTCTTTTATTGAAATGTTTCATGATTTATTGTCATTCCACATTTTAATTTCTCTTTCTTTTCTTCCTTTTGGTTTCTGATGTAAAAATCTTCTCTGGTTATACCATGTGACATTCGGCTTCTTTTTCAATTTTTTATTCTTTCCACATTTTCCAACTTACTTGGCACCTTATGATTCATTCTATCTTTGGCTCTTTTTTTGTTCTTCCTGGGTACTGAATGGAAATGAGGGAAAGTGAGTCATCATTATCTTGCTGACTGCAACACCAGCCATTTCACTTTGTTGTTTATTAGAACTCAGTGAATCGATCAGAGACGAATGGAGTAAGATATGTGATTGGCAGTCTTTCCAGTTATGAAAAATACGATTTGATACAGTCCAACCAAGCCAAACAAGCCTCATCCTCAACATGAAGTAAAATAACTGTTTAGAATAAGTCCATTGATACAAATTTAAGATATATAGATAGATGGATAGATAGGTAAAGCTAAATTTAGAAATCTGAAGTGCTTTAAATATCTTCTTGGTCTTCTGTAACTATTTGTCAATACATTATTTTTAAAGATGCCAAATTCTACGTTTTTTACTCTCTTAACCTGTGATTTACATTTATTATGCTATTATGTTTAACTTTTAAAATACCAAATGAAAATAAGCTTTTTAAAAATCACTTTATTTGTAGGAAATTGAATTGAGTTCGAATTGCTATAGTATCATTAAATTGTGTGTTGGGATGATACTAAATTTAATTATTGTGATTGTTGAAGTTCAATTTTGATCAATTTTTTGAATTGTCTTAGCCAGTTTTAATTTTGGGAACTTGTTTGGTATGTTGTTTGGTGATTTCTCTATGGCTAAGTGGCCCATATAACCTTGTATACTTGGTCATACACTGGATCTTAAAGTTCAAATTACATTGGGAGCTGAGATTTTCAGTGAAAAATTATTACAAGTCTTTATCCTTTATATTGCCATTTTTGTCCCAAATACTTTAGAACTCCCCTTTCCAGACCTCTAGACCTGTGACGGTCGCTTCAAGTCATTCAGAGGGAAAAATGGTATGAGTGATATTAATTATCATTTCTTAGGATATAATAAATGCTTGGCCTGTTATATTATGCTGCCATTCTCCTGGCTACCCTGGATAATCCCCAGCTTGATGTACAAATATTTGTTATCCTATTCATGGTCAGGCAATAATATGTACTCCTGCTTCTTAAACTCCCAGGTTTCTATTAGCTGTTTAAGTTTGGGGATTTGTGTGTCAATCTGGAGTCATGAGGTGGCTTTCTGATTATTTGCCTTTGTGGCCTATGTTGAAATAGGAGTGTCAGTTTTCTTTGGTAAGCTGGTTTGTCTCAACTTAGAAAAACATTATGCAGTGCAGACATATGGTAAGTATACTTGTCTGGAGGATCTTCTGCAATTGACAGCATTTTTTTGCTGCTGTCTCGTAATATGGCCCAACTAAAAGTTTATGTATCATAAAAATTTCGAAGTGCCATTTGGATATATAATAACTTCAGATATTTTAGTGATTATGGTAATGATGATGCCAGTGAAGTCTGCTTTGGTGATTATGTGCAATGCATACCTGGGTTTGTGACACTTAATAACTCCTTTGGCCAGTAGAGTATTAACCAAATGCTATTAATTGCACCTAGAATCAGAAATAGGATCATGCATGGGCTCCTGAGTTCCAATCTTTGGCTTAAGGCTTTAGCATCAAACTGCGTGATGAATGCATGTAAAAGTATCCTTTCACTGTGCTTGGAGCAACCACAAATACCAGGAACTAAGGAACGATATCCCAAATCAAATTAGCTGGGTCAAAACGTGTTTCTGTAGCATTTAAGATATCTTTATTTAGACCAAATTTTTACCTTACATTTGACTTTATTTTGTGATAAGTGAGATTCTGGTACTGTAGCCTTAAAATGGAAATGATTCATACATGTTTTGAAATAAAATGATTTCCCTTTCCTTGGTCTAAATGTATAAGAAACTTCAACCTAGAGTCTGGCTGTGTAAGGACATCCGTTTTCTAGCTTTCTCTAAGCCAGCCATGACTTTAGCTCCAAAATGCAGAAGAATTACATCAATGAGAACAAAAATTCAACATTGTGTGTAGCTGTCCTTCGAGTTTTAGCTCCATATCCTCTTCTAATATGAAACTGAAATTTGTTAAACAGAATTGGGAACCGAAATTTGTAAGTTCATCACATGGCCATTGGCTACCTGTAATCAGCCAGTTATAAAAACAACTTACAAATTATTGTCAAAGCTTTTCATGATGCCATCCTTCTTCCCTCCAAATTCATGTTTCTGCTTTTAGTGATTTCTCCAATCATTTAATGGTAATTCTTGCTATTTCCTATTTATGGAGGAACCATCTGGCCAAAAGTCGAATTACACATCTAAACTTTGGAACATTGTCATTTTCTCTGTTCTCTTAAATCTGTTGTCCTATGGATCGTCCAATCCCTGACTTAATTAATACCTCCCTATTTTCATAACCGCCCCACTTTAAAAGGGATTCCCCCCATTCAGACCCATTGGTTTCATCTCCTCCCACCTTCTAAGTTGTCCCACATTCTGTTTTAACTTTCTTTTCTTTCTTTATTTACGTCCATTACAGCCAGATCTCTATGGCTCACAGATGTGCCCAGGGAAGCTCCCAGAGGTGCGTCACAGGCCCAAAAGAAGCTTGCATCAAAGTGCTTCTTTGAGATGTCATAGCACTGCAGCAGCAGGTTCATGTGTGTGCAGTAGAGTTGTTGCTTGGCTTATCTCACTTTTTTGTTGTCATTCCCAAACTCTGGAGGCCCACGTCACACATTGTTTTGCCGAGACTTCATAGGAGAAAGCCACATAAATTGTATCTGGAATAGTGTGTCTGCCTCTCTCTCCAAGTCGTTCTTGGAGGTTGGATAATTTTGAAATGGGGACATCTGTAGGTTGAACTTGAAGGAAAGAATGTTGAATATGCAATACAAAACTAACCTCTCTGTTTAATTTTTGCAATTCTCCTTGGTTAGATTGACAAATATTCCTTCCTCTCTGCTCTAAATGCTTCAAATTATTGCAAATTTTCACAAGGCTTTGGCATGGTTCTCATGTCCCCAGGTTCTACATGACCAGTAAATGAAGTGGGGAGGAAGGGAGGAAGGAGCAGAGGAGGGCATGCCCTGGAGAAAGCTGCAGTGGAAATCCCCAAAGCAGCATTAATGTTAGTATTTAGTATCTCAGTGGTTATTGCTCCTCCACAATTCTATTTTTGGATCCTCCCAATTTGGTTTTATATTAAAGCCTCTAGATCCAAAATTTACGTTTTGTAATCACAAGGTATAAACTGGCCAAGGGTGAGGCTTTCCTTTGATTCTAAAATATATTCTGATTACATCATACCCAGAAACAGCTTGTTATTCCAGTCATAGAAAACCCATTGATCTGCACAATACTATACTGTGCACAAATTTAGAGAAGTCTTGCTATGTCTGCCCTGAGTCACCAGAAAAAACAAAGCTAAGCTGTTAACATCATTTCATGGATGAGCAGAGTCAATATGGAGGTGATTTTCATGCGCTTTTTTTTCAATCACAGTCATACTCCCACCCACCCTTTTTAAGTTGGATCCTAGTTTTACCTATGTGTTTTAATTAGAGAAGAGAATGATTGCATTATTAAGTTACTAACGTTAAGTCTAGAATGTAACTTCAGTTTCCCAAGTGTAATCCTACAGGTAGCATGGGCTTCTTGGTGAAGAACTTTACTGGAACATGAATGTGCTGCTGCCTAATGTTCTGAGCTGCCTTTCTTTCCCTTTGGTTGTCCACAGGGAATTCCCGAACAATGGGCACGATTACTCCAAACCTCCAACATAACAAAACTGGAACAGAAGAAGAATCCACAAGCTGTTTTAGATGTTCTCAAATTCTATGATTCCAAAGAAACCGTCAACAACCAGAAATACATGAGCTTTACATCAGGAGGTAAGAGACATTTTAGAGTGTTGAAAATTAAAGAATTGGAAGGAAGGAAAAGGAAAAACAAAAGAGAATAGAATTCAAAATAAAAACAAAGCTTCTGTATATACAGGGTTTGGAGGGCAGAAGGGAGGGGATGGGATTGGAGGAAAAAGTAGAATCAAGATATATCATGTATACATACAAATTCCCTATGATGAATGTGATCATTACGTGTTCCTAAAATGTACCAATAAGATTAATTTTTCAAAAGAAAACTAAAGAATTAACTCTAGTCTCAGAGCCTCATGATTAAAATAAAATGTCTGTTAAACATTTGAAGTCAGGTCTAGTATCTTCTTCAAATGGGCTCAGTATAACTAAACCAAAAGTTGAATTAGAACTTGAGGTTGATCACAAGGTATATATATATTCATTGGATGATTTTAGAGCCCAAATATGGAAATTATTCAGTAAATCCATAAGGGTTATCTTGAATCAGAAATTGCAGCTGTTTGATCTCTTCACTGACGTAAAGACCTCAGTCAGTTAGGATCAGGAAATAAGAAGTAGATGAATCAACCCAGGTCTCTTGAAATCCGTCCCATAGGTCCATTGATTTGTAGCATGATGATGTGAAACAGATTTTGTGATTGTCAGGTTATTTTCATCATTTCCCAAAATAAGACTGAAGAAAAGAAACCATGGCTTGTTATTTACAGTGATTGAAATAGCCATGTTGCTGCCAAATCATGACTTCATTTGTCCAGTGTTTAGATCTAGCCTTGTTTAGGACTGTGAAATTTAAATTTGTGCTATGAGCAACCAAACCATATTCTAAATAATACTTTTTCACTTTGAAAACTATGATCTAGGTTGTTTCTCTAGCACAGTGTCCTTCATATCTAAAGAGAGAAAGCAATGTTATCATCAGCACCTCCAACTTTATAAAGAGCTCCTACTGATTGGCATCATATTTTATGAATGGTCAGCTGGAAGTCTGTTTGAGAATGTTGCAAATACACACTTGGAAGGAGAGGTGTGTCTGATTTGGACATACCAAATAATAGAGCTCAACACTGAAGCTATATGACAATTTGCATGCAAAATGGGACTTTTTGATTTGTTATTAGCTGTTGCCCCATGTTGAAAACCTAAAAAGAAAACCATCAAGGCAAACTCTTTATGCTAGTCTTCCATGTGGAATAAAATGTTTAAGAGATCCTGTTGACATATAAAACAATGTTTAATGTGAGGAAATGAGGAGCTGTACTTCAAATTACAATCATAGGTGACCAGAACCAAAAATGCTTTCAAGGAATCATTTCAGCAGAACCATTGATAACCTTCAGTTTCCCTGCTGTTTAACACTATTATTTTTATGTTGTTTGTTTAACTTATAAGGATCAACCCATGCCAACTATGTTAAAACTCAACAGTGTCTGAGCTATTGCACTACACTGACCTGAATGAAGCTCATCATATTGAATGCTCTAGAGTATTCAGAGATTTTTTTTTTTATCGGAGAAAAAAATGCTATAATACAGATGTATAGACGGATAAGAGTCAGGAGTAGGTCATCTTCACATTCCTCTACACAGATGAGTTTTGCTTCATTAAGGTTTGCACAGTGACTTGGTCAGAACATGATGAGAATGGAATGGTGTAAGCTGTTTTAAGGAAAAAATAATTGTAATTTGTCATATTTATTTAATGCTAAATTGGAGAATTTATTATTGGATCAAGACATGCAGTGCTTTGTTTTTTTTTTTTTTAATTTTTCTGAGTTTTATGGGGCGTTCTTTTTTGTTATTGTTACTTGTTAGACTGCCTCTAAATGAGACAGTCCTCGTGAAACAAAGGTGACCTCTTTATTCTCACTTTTCAGATAAAAGTGCACATGGATATATAGCAGCACATCCTTCAGTAAGTGAAATCAAAAACTTTCTCATGATTAAAGTGTCCTACCATCCAACAATATGATTGTCTTTTTCCTGTTTTTAGATAAAAATCTTTTCAAACCAGTTGCAAAGGTGTAATTTAGATTAAAAAAAATTTACCTGTTTTAAGGGTACGATGTCTTTTAGTAAATTTATATACTTACGCTACCCTCATCATAATCAAGTTTTAGAGCATGTCCATCACCCCAGCAAAATCGCTCTTGACTGCTCAGAGTTAATCCCTCCCCCGTGCTTCTCTATCCCCTGGGCAAGGGCTAATCTGGTTTTTGCCTTTAAAGACTTGCCTTTCTGTACATTTCATGTAAATAATATATTATATGACCTTCTGGTGTGGCTTTTTTACTTAGCATAGTCCTTTGAGAATTCAACCAAGTTGTTATGTCCATCAATAGATTGCTTTTCTTATTCCTGAGTAGTGAACCGTGGTATAATTGTACCATTGATTGTTTTAACTATTCATTCATTGAAGATTCTCGAGACTATGTCTAGTTTTAGGCTATTATTAATAATGCTACCATGAAAATTCTTGTTCATTTGTCTTTATCTGGACAGACGTTTTTATTTTTATTACATGCACAATTTCAAAAATAATCATATTAATAGGCACTTCTTTTTATTGAACACAGAAGGTATATGTCCAAAATAAGCCAGTATTATTTTTATATTCACTTAATCTCCACTGCAATTCAATTAAGTAAGACTTACCATTGTCCTCATTTTATACATGAGGAAACTGAGATTTAGAGAGATGAACTTACTGTTCTAATTTGGTGTCATTTGTTTGAACAAACTAAATACAATGAGGGAAATGAGCTTTGCCCAAAATCACATGCTTTTTATCAGAAAACAAACTGGAAAATGTGTAAACTAGTCATTGGAAATACTCTGGTGTCTGAAAGAATACCTACATACATTAGACAGAAAACTTGCTCAGATTTCCTTTTCCATGGATTTTCATTTTGATATCCTGATAAAAATTATTTCCTGTTTCATTTGCTTCTTTGGTGGTATAATAATTGGAATTAGTGAAAGTCTGCTAAGCATTTTTTCAGGGACATGGATGGCCAAGCCAACTTTTTTCTTCTCATATATGATGAATACTAACCTGCTTGACATCATCTTGGCCGGCTAGTATGATAACAGTAGATTATTGGTGATAAAATGAAAAGGCTCTGAGATGACATGGCACTTTTTAAAAAGATAAAAAGTAGAATTAGCATCCATTCAGCTGTTCTACTTGTGGGTATATATATAGATTTGTTATCATGGTGTTGGAGAGCTATTACATACATGTTCATAACAGCACTATTTACAATAACCAAAAAGTAGAAGCAACTCAATGGATGAAGGAATAAATTAGATGTTGTATATACAAATAATAGAATATTATTTGATATTAAAAAGAAAATTCTAACACATAATAATATATGTGTCATATAAATGCTGCCATTTTAGCTAGATCTTAAAAACTAAATGAGATTTGTATCTGTGAAGATGGCAAAAGGCATTTTAAGCAATAGAAAATGTTTGAGAAAGGGGAGATTGATGAGGAGACCATGGAAAAAGGCATGAGGTTTTAAATGAAGACTGCTATTAAAAAAAAAAAATCATAGGGATTAAGTCCCAAGCTTTAAGTTGGGACCAAATCATAGAGCCTTAAATGCTATTCTAAGGAATCTGATCTTTCCAGTATGCAGGGTAAAGTCTTTGAATTGTTTTGAATCAAGACAGTTAGCTAATTAAAGCTTATGCTATAGGAATCAAACAGCAAATCCTCAGAATGAGGTAGGAACAGATAGGTTAGATGAAGGAAGACTTAATTGGGGAAATATGACATGTATCCAGGCCAGAGATAATGAGGGCCAGAGGTGAGATAGAGGCAATTGGAATAAAAACTAGGTTCAAATTCTAGAAATGTTTATATCATTGACTATCTGCTAGAAGAAAGCATGGGCTCAAAAGTGATTGTAGGTTTAAAGCAGATAAAAAAAGATATGGATATTATCTTTCAGAAGAAGCAGGTTTCCATTGGAAATTGTGTTTCCTACTGGACAGTTTGAATTTGAAGCTAGGTTGGACTTCCGAATACAGATAATTGATTAAACAATTTGACTAAAGCTATGTTCTTATTAATTGAATTAACTCATTTGGACCCTTCAGTTAAGATCATGTCTTAACTCACTCACTTGGGAAGGAAAACTGTGACTTGTGCTTTTATTATGGTTTTAAAGGGAGATTGTAGTTGACACTGTGCATGACTTTTTATGTTAAAAACTAGGTCTACTGGGACAGTTACCTGATCTGATTAAAATGGACTGATAGATTAGAATAGGAAATATAGTAAAGAATATGTTAAGAAATAGTGAAGTTTTTCAGATGGATCTTATCTAATTAAGCATCAACACTCCATATATGCATCAAACATTAAAAAACTCCTGTATTCCACTTCCTATTTTTGTTGTAAGTTTCTGAGGTGATTTTTGAATTTGAAATCATTCAGTTAAGTGAAGATTTAGTTTATAATTAAATCTGATTTCTGAAGCAGTTCTTGAAGTCCTCTTTCACAAGTGTCTTTACAAGATATTGTCAAAAATCTGGTGAATGTTGCTGTCATGTATCATCCAATGGAAGGAACAGCTTATAAAAGCATCACAGTATTGCCCTCATCCATCTTTATCACTGGCTGTGACACAGTGCGATTTTTGACTCTTCAAATTTTAAAATGATCATTAAAGGTAAACACTTTGAATAAATTCAGGACATTGAGGCAGCTATGCCAGTGCAGCTAAAAGATACCTACAAGTCTTCAAGAACTACTTCAGAAAGTGGCAAGAATGTTGTAGTAAGTGTGTTGGAGCTAGAGGGAGTATTTTGAGGCAACTGCACAGTAGTGTGTCTTTCACTGTAATACATATTTTAAAATTAAACTTTCAGAGCTTGGCATGGGGGTGCATGCCTGCAATTTCAGCACTTAGGCTGAGAAGGAAGGGTTGTTGCAAGTTTAAGAAAGGCCTGGGCTAAAAAGTGAGCTCAAGGCCAGCCCAAATTGCAAAGTTAGACCCTGTCCCAAAAAGATAAAAGAAAAGAAAATTAAACTTTCGCAATATTTTTCAATCAGAATGCATGTAGGTGGCCTAAATAAGAAAACTGATCTCTAGTAGATACTTAAAGTTCAACATATAGATGACTTAACAGCTGTATCAGAGAAATCAAATACTCTTTTATTTATTGATTAATAAATTCTACATATTGTTACTTTTCACAATAGATAAATCTAGCCAGTTCCTCTCAAATATGTAAGTACACCTTACTACTCTATTGTAGGTATTTACATGATTATACAAAATCCATATTAGATTTTTAACCACAGACTGAATTCAGTCAATATAGTAATTTTGTTTATATGCTTACAACTGCTTCAGGAGCTTTGTTTAAAAAGAATGAAAATTATTGATAGTATTGTCTTGGACAGTACAACCAATGGCATGAGCAAAAAATAAATACACAAAACCAATAATAATACCACTGCCTTATAACAGCACTGTGCAATGGAAACATAATATATATATATATATATATATATATATATATATATATATATAACTAAATTTTCTAGAAGACACATTAAAAAACAAAAATAAATGTGACAAATTAGTTTTAATGATGAACTTTTAACTCAGTACGTTGAAATTATTATCACCTCAATATATCAATATAAAAAGAATTAATAAAATATTTTACAATCTGTTCCTATCAGATATACAATGGCAAAGATGATTTTTACATTTATAATACATCTCAATTCCGACTAGCTGCATTTTAAGTGTTCAGTAGCTATATGTGGTTAGTGACCATCACATTGGATACTACAGACTAATACCACAGTTGGTGGTTATGAAACCTAAACATGCATCAGTATCACCTGTAAAGTTTGTTATACCATAGATCACTATACTCTACTTTCAGAATTTCTGATTCACAGTTTTAATTGGAACCTGCGAATTTGCAGTTCTAAGTCTCTTGATGGTGCTAACCTGGGAACGACCCATTGAGAACTATGACCATATTTCTTTCAAAATCCAACATTGGAACAATTGTACCCCATGCATTAATGTGAATGATCAAGAATAAATCCTAGGTACCATGCTGGTTGTCAGTTTGGTGGTGCTATTGCAGTTTACAAATAATAGCAAATTATTATTAACTTGTGGGTTAATATGGAGTAATTATTTATGCAGATAGATATTCCTTAGATCTTCGTGCCTGTTACTATTTGAGTGCTTCTTTCCAAGAGACTAAACAGAGAAGAAAATTTATTGACTCGCTTGTTCTTAGTGAGTATTTACAGAGCTGTATTGATACCATATCCATATGCATGCTCTAACCTTTAGACAGAAAGTAACCTTTTCCAAATTGACAAATTGTCAGTGAGCAAATTGACAATGCACTCAGTACAGATTCAAAGATTTAACGGCAATTTATTTTAACGCATTCATTGATTTCAATAACATTGAACTTTGAAATATTATGTGAATAAATATTTCAGTGGTTTTTTAACTCAATGTAAAATATAAATAATTGTTTAATTTTTATTGTCCTTTCAGTTATGACATGAATTTATTTCTGAATGCAAACAGATCCTGTCCACCAAATTAGAGATGGTTCTGCTCATTTGTAAAAGATGTTGTTCCCTCCTATCCCTACGTGCATAAAAGTTTCATTTTGTAGAAAAACAGTGAGGGATAAATATCTGATCTTTAAACTTTTTTGTCCAAAGAGTACAAAAACAGCGTCTGAGCCTCCTTTGGCGCCTCCTGTATCTGAAGAAGAAGATGAAGAAGAAGAGGAGGAAGAAGATGATAATGAGCCCCCACCTGTTATTGCACCAAGACCAGAGCATACAAAATCAGTAAGTCACAAGTCATTATTTCTAAATGATTCAAAAGATGCCGTTTGGAACATATAATATATTTAATTAACTAGTGCCTACTGAGTATTTCCTGTGTTCCCAGAACTAGAGTATATGATGCAACCCTGGTTTTGACAGTTCTTTTCAAGGACACTAAATTATCATATTAACTAATTGGACAATAATAGCAAAACACAACTTAAATAGCTACTAAGTTATAAAACTGCTGCAAAATTAAAGCAGGGAAGGAAATCCATGTGAACCAGACAGAAAAAAATTGCACAGGCAGAGACATCAATACTAGAATTAACAGGGCCTTGTATAGGAACCTCCAAAGACTAGCTCTCAAGATCTGCCAGTAGCACTTGATTACTTGAAACTACTTGAACTACTTGAAACTCTTTTTAGGTAGACAATAACTTATCTTTGAAAACTCATTGAAATGACAGTGCCTTGATGCCATACATTTATACTTTCCCTTTGGCCTTCTTATTAAGACTTTTTTTCCCTTTTAGATCTATACTCGTTCTGTGGTTGAATCCATTGCTTCACCAGCAGCACCAAATAAAGAAGTCACACCACCTTCCACTGAGAATGCCAATTCCAGTACTTTGTATAGAAATACAGATCGGCAAAGGAAGAAATCGAAGATGACAGATGAGGAGATCCTAGAGAAGCTAAGTGAGTTTTTGTTTTTGTTTGATTTTTTATTTTTTTGCTATCATTACTTTCTGCATGAGAGGATTTCTCAAACACCATTTAGAAGCAGAAACGTGTTTGTATGAACTCCAGGGTCATTTAAATCATTAGATGAAAAGTTAGGACTTATTGTATGTACCAGATCATTCCCACTCTCATACTCCTAATTTGACAGAAATGAAAGATTTTCACCTGAAAAAGTCAGTTAAGGTGAAAACTTGACACATTGTATTCAATAGTAAATTTTGTTTTAAGAGTGTATCAACAAAAGAGAAGTGATCTGATAGAATATTTTATGCTCATACCACAAGGACTCCAACTGATGGATCATGATAAAAAATTCAACTTCATACCTAACATTATCAATCAAAACTTGCAACCCCAAATATTGTAACCCTTTAATTTAGAAGCATGTCTATGTGGGGACTGAGGCAGAGTCAGACAATACTAGTAGTCTCCTGTCTCATTGGTCTGTACATGCTTGCACACCCATACTGGTTGCCCAGTTTTATAAAACACTAATACTGTAGTCAGTGTTCTAGGTAAAAAGATTTTTTAAAAAAGTTCTCTTCTGAAGAGTTAAAAGCTTGCAAATAATGTGTATTAAACTAAGTCAAAACTGCTAAATATTAACAATCAGCACCCCCACTTTGACTAACTCCTATTTAAAAACTCAGTTCAAAAAGTCCTTTCTCAAGGGAGCTTGCCTTGCCTCTTTGAAACTGACTTAAAAAACTCTTTTCTTTATTACTTTTACCGTAGTAAATATCACATCATACTATTATGTATCCTTCACTAGTCTACCATCTTCTCCACAGCAGGAATTATGTCTTTTTTCCTCTATATATCTAACACCTAGTAAGTGTCTATTACATTAAATGCTCACTGAGAATGTAGTAAGTTCCCAGTATCTGCTCTCTATGAAAAAACTTTGGAGGACACAATAGAAAGATCACTCACTGACCAAGAAACGTACAATTGTCTTTGAAAGATACAATTTAATAGAATAAGACAATTAGAGAATAAGGGGCTCTTTCCTTGAATATAATTTTTTTAGTCTAAAACGATCTGGAGACAAGAGCAATTTCGTCTTGGAGCCACAGGGAGGCGCCCCAGAGAAGGTGTTAGTACCATTTTGCCCTCCAGGCTGTAATCTGATTATATCTAAAGACAGTTTTTAGAGTTCTAATTCAGAGTGTCACTGCAACTAGTGAATAAAGGTTAAGGGCACTTCTAAGTGTCCTACAACACACAAAATACCTCCCTTCCTTCCCTTTCACAACGAAGTATTATTTAGCTCAAAAGGTCAACAATCCTGAACTTGAGAAATTTGAAGCTGCGGGGTTTGGAGAGGCAAATGCTGAAATTGTAGCTGTCAGGAAAAACACCCATCTTGAATCCTAGGACTTTATCAAAGTGACTTTACATGATTAAATATCCTTTCATCAACCATCTTCTATACTAAAAGCCCTAATAATTCTCATTTACCAAGTACTTTGTCTACTGGCCACTTTATATATATTATCAGGGTTAAATTTTTTCAGTAATCCTTTAGTAGATTTGAATGTCTTTATTTCACAGATCACTGAAAGCGAGCTTTAAAAACTTTAGTGACCAAGCCACCAACTAATGAGTGGCAGAGCCAGAAGGTATTCACGACTGTATACCTTCAAACCTTACATGTTTCCCATTACCCACTTTGCTTCTGTATATCCTAACTATACATATAACTATTCATATAAATTTTTCATATAAAATAGAAAGGTGAAATGAAATAAAACAATTTTTAAAATCATGGCAGCCTCATTTTAGTAAAAGTAACCACTATTTAGTATCTATTTATAGTCTCAATAGATTTGTTACAATAAAATGCATTTATACACCATTTTTAAATCAATTGAGAAACAAGCATTATTTTCCTGAGCCAAAATCTTGCTTTGCTCATAAACTGTGATAATACTGGAGCTGTGGCCTTTATGAATTTATTGCTTATTCTGTGCTACCTTAAGCAACATGATGAAGAGGAGAAAGCAATAAGATTACGTATTTATTAAAAATTAAGTAGCTTTTTTTCTCTTTTGAACTTCATGTTTGGGTGTAGAGAGAGCCATTTTCCTTCTAGCCCTATGACTGCCAACCTGTACTTGTTGGTCTTGGCGGAAAGCCTCTCCAGAAATGGGAAAGAGCTTCTTAAGCAGTAGATGCAGGCTGAGCTACATTTCCAAGTCTGCATAGTTGAGCTTTCCAATTCTTGCCCCACTATTTCTTTATGAGTCCCTTATCTTTTCCATTTAAATACTGGGAAACCTTAGCCAAGTCATTTAACCTGAGCCTCTATATCTTAGCTATCAAGTGGAATCATATCTATTTTAGAGCTTTGTCTATGGGATTTATTTTGGGATGCTTATATAGTTAAGAGAATAGTATGAGCATCTGAAAACCCAGATTCAAATCACAGACCTTTTATACTAGCAGTATCAATTTGAGCCACTTCTTTTTTAAACTTTTGAGCCTCTTTTACCTCAGTGAAAAAGTTGAGATCAATCCAGGCATAGTGCTGTAAGCCTATAGATTATAACCTCAGCACTGTAGGAGACTTGAAAAGAATTATTAGGTTGAAGTCAGCCTGGGCAATTTATAGAGACCTTGCCTCAAAAAATAAATAAATGCAATAAAAGGGCTGATGATATAACTCAGTGTGAAGGGCTTGAATTCAATCCCCAGTACCAGTGAAAAAATGTGGTCGTAATAGTATCAACTTCATACCATTTGATATTCAAATAAGAATAATGTGTGTAAATACCTCACAAATGTACATGGAAAATAGTAAGTCTTCAATAAATGATAATCATTTTATTGTATGAGTATAAAGTCTTAATAACATAATACAATGTGATAAGTTCTGAAATGAATCATACCAGAATCTGAGTTGTAAATGCAGACTAGCTTTGTGTCCTTATGCAAATCACTTAACCTCCCTGAACTTTAGTTACTTCATTGAGAAATAGTGATAATAATAGTATCTATATATCAGGGGTTTTGTGAAAGCTAAAAAAGTTAAAATATGTAAGATGTGTAACACAATAAATACCATGAATTTATTATACTACTTTTACAAAATGAAAGTATATTTTTTAGTACAAAAATGCGGGAATGGGGTCTTACAGTAGAACACAATGTTGGAAATTAAAAATAATCTCCTATGTGTGTGGTCCCTGTACAGAAGTCATTGAGGACTTTGGAATGCAGGGTGTGATGGTAACTTGGAGAAAGGGTAGAAGTGCCTCTGCTGAAGAGCAGGGCATGTAAACAGAGGAGTGACCAGCATTCTGCAGCAGCACGAACCACACAAACACGGGGGAGAGAAAACAGCAACCTCTTCTGAGTCATCCTGGCCTTGGGTGCTGAGGATCTAGTTGCTTAGAGGTGGGCAACCCAAACCACAGAGCACAAGGCTATTCACCTTCCATACAGACACTGATGGTGAGGGCCAGGCAAAGCGCTCAAGAGTGACTGAAATGAACAAATTAGCTTTCAGTTTCACACTTGATAGGCTGGCTCTGGCTTGCTCATTGTGCACTGTCTGGGCCTGTTGGAAAATAAAGAAACCCTAAATGTTCCATTTTCAAAAAATATTGTCAGCAAAATTGGGCAACGCAGGAAGTTTGCTTCAGCCCCCCTCCTCTATGGCCTCGCAATCATCTGTTCCTCCATTTCTTCCCTTTCCCCAGAATTCCCCATTCAAAACTCAGTTCCCTAATTTACCCTCAGATAAAACTTAAAATTTAAGAATTATTTTGGTTTCCCCCCCCCACTTGGGAATCAAAACCTTCATTATGCTAAGGGAATAATCTTTAAAAGGTGAAAATTTAGCATAGTTTAGTATGTCAGAGAATATATTGTAGTTTTTCTGCCACTGAAACCACAACATGAATCCTATTTTCCAACACCAGAATTTAGTGATTTCTTAAAACCTTGTATTTTAAAATAAATGATTTGCTTTCTACTTAGGAAATTGCTGTAGTGGGAAATTGTTCTGATATTGTTGTCATTTTGATTTTGATATGTTAACTTATTCCCACTTTTTCATGTTGTGCCACAATGTTTTCCATTTACTTTTTTGTTGACAAATGCAAATTTTAATGACTGTGATGGAAGAGACCAATTTGAAAGCTTGTCTTATAACAGAATTGTAAATGTTTCCTGTACACTTGGTAAACTAGCATCAGTAGATGGCAGCACACTCTCTCCTGTGAAGGGGGATGCCATTTTATTTGAATAGCAGTTAAATGCAGGAGCAGAATTTCATCAAAATGGTTGTCTTCTGGTAATGCTCACAAAAGGATTTATTTCCAGGTGTTACCCCCCCCCACATACCATGGAACTAAAGATTGAATAATTTACTACCATAAGCCTTATTGACAAAAACCCCACCGATTGGAAGCAGTCATAATTCAGAAAGTAGCTTGGGCTAAAGTTTGTTTTTGATCAGTCCATGAAAAAGCGTTTTTTCAGAAGCCTCATGGTAAAACTGTCTTAGGAAACTAAAAACTTCTTAATAAAACTATGGTTTCAAGTCATTTTAAAAATCAGCTTTTCATTAAAAAAATGATACAGGCACTTGACCATTAGGAACTGACTTGGAAGATTGCTTTCAGTGACATAGAAATGTGCTAGACAATTTGAAAAATAAAGTAATAACTCAGAAAGTCCTAATTTGGTGGAATTCTATAGTATTGCTTTAGAAATATATATTCTTTGACCTACCTTAAACTAGAAGGTATTTAAAAAGGGAAATGCCAATTTTTCTTTAAGATTAATTCAATAAATATTTACTGAATGTGTGATATATTCCATACACAGCACTATGTGATAAGGCACTAAGGGTACAAAAACTAATAAGACATGCCTCTTGTACTTAAGGCACATTCCGAAAAGTGTTGTCAAAACAACAGAAAAATATATTAAAGATAGAGAAAACAGCAAGAACTAGACAGAGGAAAAGTACATTAATGAGTCTGTATAGACTTTATGTGAAAAGGGAGTTATTAGCTTTATTCCAAGGAATCAGAGAGGGCTTCTTAGAGAAGACAGTATCTAAGCTGATGAGTAAGAGTTCTCTTGGAGAAAATATGGGAAGAACATTCCAGGTGAAGATGACTTGAAGGCGTGTGCTTAAGAAATATAATATATTTGATATTACTTGAATAAAATATTGATGGAAGAAATATTTGTTGAAGTTGTAGGAGAGGCACCTATACTGTAAGGAGAAGCTTATCATGAGGTACAGGTAGTTTATTACAGTCTAAACCTGTTTTAGTGGTAAGAAATGAGTTAGAGAATGAAGTGGGAGCGAGGTCCATGCCAAGGGATTCGAACTTTGCCCTTGGGTGTTAGAAAGAAAGTCCTAAAGGTACCCTAAACCAAAGAATCACATGATTTGATCAGATCTTTTCTTGGAGCATTGTGATAGAAAGCTGGGGCCTGAACTGGAATGAACAGAAGCAGGAAACAAGCGTCCAGTTAAGATGCTGTTGGAATAGCCCAGGCAAAAGATAAATGCGAACCTCACAAAAGCTGCAGTAATGAGGAAAAGATAAAGTCAGAAAGTCTCCGGGAAGTAAACAGATAAAGGATAATAGGATGGGACTTGCCAGGTAACTGCAAGGAGGCAGTGCAGGTGAAGAATGAGTCAACCGTGACTTTCTCAGCAGATTCCTGAGCTGAAATGACATTGTCAGTACCGCTGACTGACATTGGAAATACAAGAGGAAATGTATTATTATAATTCTTATTTAACCTAACTGAAGCATGGACGTTCACTACTAAAAACAAAAGCAAGAAAATGCAGCAACTTGATGAATAATCCATGAGAGAAACGTTTTTAAATGATTTTTTTTTCTTGAGGTAGACTGAGTCTGTTATTAGATCTGAATTAAGTTGTTCAGTAGCCTGGAGAGTAGATCATTGTGTTAATTAGCGTGAGGTATTATTGGTAATGTACAGTGTAGCGCTGGAGTGCATATATTTCTTTCTTTGGTACTGGTTACTGGAGATTATGCATTTGCACTGAGTACATCCTTAGCCTTTTTTCCCCTGTTTTGTATTGTGAAATAGGGTCTCATTAAGTTGCAGATTTTCTTAGGCTAGGTTCAAAATTGTGATCCTCCTACCTCAGGTTCACAGAGTGCTGGTACTGTAGACATACGTCACCACATCCAGCTTGAATATATAATTTTTTGTTGCTCTCAACCACTCGGTCAACAAATATTTGTTTAGTGGCAGCCACTGTTTTGGGCACTGAGGTTTAAAAGATGAAGACAAAATTTTTTGACCTCAAGAAAAAGTCTCAGCTGAAGATATAGCTCAGTGACACAGTTTGGTAAGCACAAGTCGTGCGTTCAATCCCCTGGTCCCAGAAAAGTAAGTAAATATCAGAGGGACCAGAAAACACTTCATAAAGAATGCTTTGAGGAGGGGCTGGGGATTTAGCTCAGTGGCATAAGCGCCTGCCTTGTAAGCAGGCAGTCGTGAGTTCGATCCCCAGTACCGATAAAAACGAAAAAGACAAAAAAAAAAAAAAAAAAAAAGAATGCTTTGAGGTTAAATGTAAAGGATAATTAGTTCTTCCTGAATTAGATGAAGAGAAAAAGAAGTGGGAAATGGGAAAGCAGTTGGAAACATTTATGCACTGGCTAGTGATGACATTACTGAAATTAGAAGAGGAAGAGAAGAGGGAGAGAAAAATGTGAGGTTAGACCTGATGATGACTTCCCACATCCAACTAAGGAATTTGATCCTGTGGTAAGGGAAAACTGTTGAGCTTGGGTTGGTTTGGAAGCTGCGGAATGATAGGGAGGGTCTACTAACAGGTACAAACTTTCTTTTTGGAATGATGAAATTTCCTAAAATTAGATGATAATGATGTTTGCAGACATCTACAAATATATTAAAATCCATTGACTTGTGCACTTTAAATAGGCGAACTTCACAGCTAGTGATGCTTTCTAAATGTTTGCAGCCCTAGTAGGCCCTACATTCATGGTTGTGTTTCTAAAAAGCATGAATCTCATAATTTTTTATCAAACATGTTCTCCGTTCTTTTCACCCATTGCCCTAGACACTGAAACACACGAATAGCTCAATAGAAATTTATGTGGCCTAACTGAATGTAGTATAGTGATCAACTGTACTCAAATTCAGAAAATTAATGATTATACTAAAATAGTGTGTAGGGTTTTAGATGATTTTAAATGCTAAACTATAAAATTATTTTATAAGAACATCTCATAAATGTTGATTAAAGCCAGGCCTTTTTTGTTTCCCAAGCATCATCAATTTGGAAGAAAAGCAGCATGCATTATTATTAATACTTTAATATATTACACTTTACCTTTTAAAATAAAAAGTAACATTTTCCATGTAATTTGTAGAAATCGTAGGAGGATTTGTCTAATGCTTTTGTTACTGACTTTCTCATCTTTATTATTAAAGGGAAATCAATCAATCTATTTTAATCTTTTCCCCCCAGGAAGCATTGTAAGTGTTGGTGACCCAAAGAAAAAGTACACACGATTTGAAAAAATTGGTCAAGGGTAAGTAATTGTTATTAATATATAGTCAACCAATGAGTCAGAAAAATGAGCACCAGCAGCATATTAAAGTTCATTAACAGTGTGTATTCCTGCTAATTTATTTTCTGGATTATATTTGTGTGTTACATTCTCAATTTTGACCTTTCTAGTTGGCACGGTAACTGATAATTAACCTAGGAACATATCCTGCTGGAATCTTAAGTATCACTGAAATGAAAGTAAATTTTGCAAGGACATTTTATTCCCCATGTAGTTAACAGTTTCAAAGTGGTTTACCCAGGGAAGGAATGGAATTACAGAAACATCTGTCTTTCATGAAAAACTTCCTTTATCCCGCCCCCACCACTCGCACAATCATCCATATACACAATGCAGTTAACATTTAAGTTCTCTATTATATTGGAAAGTGACAGACTGAGGGTGATAGAGGTCCTTATTGAATGATCCAAAGGTAGGCAGATGTCTGAGTAAAGAAGTACCAGATCAATAATCCCTAAATGAGATGTGGAACATCTTTTTCACATAGCGTACTTGTTAAAGATAAAGATTTCCAGGCCTCTCTGCCAAATGTTTGATTCAGAAATCTGACGTGGACTCCAGCAATTGGAACATGGCAAAAGTTTCCCAGATCATCGTGATCATCAGCTCGACAAAGAGTCACAATGTTTGGTCATTCACTAGCACTAAAGATAAGGGAGTCATCAGTTTCACAAGTCAACTCCAGTTAGGCACGTCTCTCAGGCCTCCCGTTGAGATTAACCAGGAAGACAACAACTCTGAAACAGGGAAAATTTGTGTTCAAAGAGCTGTATTTTTCCAAGTCCATACACAAAGTTCATCTCATTTTATTCATACTCAAAGGATAAATACAAGACGGGTAGAAAAAGAAAATATGTATTAAGGGGGCTCAGAAAACAAAGGCCAGATTTTATTTTATTGTAATTGAGTTGGTTCTCAGAGCTAACCATAAGGGAGAGACATATACCCTGCTTAGAAACAGCCCTCCAGATGTTTGTTGTTCAATAGGTTGACTATACTAATTGTTGACCATTTGAAATGTGAGTTCAAATTGAGATGAATCATAAGTATAGAATGCAAAACTAATTTTGCAAAGTTCATATAAAAAGATTATAAAATATTTCATTGATAAATTGTATGTTGGCTACATGTTGAGATGATTGGTATTTGCATATGTTGAGTTAAACTTAATTTCATTTTAAATAGCTTTTAAAATATAGCTCTAGGAAATTTAAAAATAATACAAGCTATGTTGTTTTTTAAAAGTATTTTTACCTTTTCAATTGACACATAATAATTGTACATTTTATAGGTGACTAGGTAATATTTCAGCATGTGTAAACATTGATAATGTAAAATTAGCATATTTCTATATTCCGAAACAATTATGTATTACTTTTTTGTGTAGAAAACATTCAAAATCCTTTCTTAGAGTTTTTAAAAATATACATTATATTATCATTAACTATAATCATCATGCTATGCAATAGAGCAGCAGAACTTACCTCTCATATGTAACTATAACTTAGTACATACCAGTTGACCGATTTTTCACCAACTTTCCTTCCCTTCTACTTTTCCTAGCCTCTTGGTAACTACTATTTTGCTCTCAACTAATATGAGATCAATTTTCACGTTACACTTATGAGTAAATCCATATAGTTTTGTGTTTCTGTGTCTGGCTTTTTTCACTTAACATAATATTTTACAGTTTCATCTCTGTTATCACAATAACAACATTTCATAGTTTTTATGTCTGGAATAATATTCCAATGTCTATATTTTTTAATCTAGTCATTAGTTGATCCTTTCATTGATTGCATTTCTTGGCTAGTGTGAATAGTGCTGCAATAAACATTGGAATAGAGATGTCTCTTCCTTAAGAGAGACATACTGGTTTCATTTTCTTTGGATATTAACCCAGTAGTGGGAGTCACGGACCATACACTAGTTCTATTTATAACTTTTTTAATACCTTCCATATTGTGCTCTATAAGGGCTATACTAATGTACATAATCACCAAAGCATTATAAGTTCCCTTTACTCCATATATTCACCAGCAGTTGTTACCTTTTGGCCTTTTGCTAATAGCCATTTTTACTAGAGTGAGGTGCTGTCTCATTTTAGCTATGATTTTCATTTCTCTATTGAGTACAGATATTGAGCATTTTTTCTCATACCTGTTGGTCATTTGTATGTTTACTTTTATGACTATATAGCTAGCTCTATTTTCCACTAATTAATAGTTCATTTTTTCATAGAATTGAGTACTTATAATTCTGTATATTAATCCTTTATCAGATATATGATTTCAAGATATTTTCTGTCATCCTATGTGTTTTCTGTTCATTCTGTTGATTTCTTTTGCTATGAAGAAGCTTTTTAGTTTGATGAAATCAAATATGCCCAGTTTTTGCTTTTATTCATGTCTCACATTTCTAATAGATAGCACTGCTATAATCATAGGTTTAAATGAAAACTATTTACTCATTTATTTTAAAAGCCGTTTTTAAAGTTATTTTGGGGAGTTTGGAATAAGAGATATTGTAATTTTGTTTTGATCATTCACTCCCACTAAGACCCAACTAAGCCACAAATAGCATTGAATTTAAAAAGAAAAAAAAAGTAAGAGGTGGTTTCAAGTAGCTCCCAGGTAATGAAGCAAGACTAATTCTTTCAAGAATAAACAGTAGACCACCAAGCAACTTCACACACCAAGGAGATTTCTCCTTCTGGCTGTTATTTATACCTCTGAATTTTAAAGTTAAAAAGCCAAGTTCCTTATTTTTGAGTACCTTTATAAAGTCTTTATAATCTAAAATGAAAAATGAATGCAGAAATCCTTCTTGTCTCTGCAGAAATATCTACTTTAAATTTCTAGCAAGCTCATCATTTTAAATAATGGTAAAACTCTCATTTCACTCATAGACCCAACAAACATTTTTGTAAGCTCTTAGAAAATAAGGAGAGCCTATTTTATTCATCCCTTTTGTCTCTTTCACTATCTAGCATGTTACTTTGTACTTAGTAGGCTCTTAAAAGAATTTTAAACAGTTACAGTCAACAGCCAGGTTTACTTTGGTCAGACTCAAAGTCTTACTACAGAGTTTCTCATTTGCCACCCCCTTGGGAATGTTTTTGCATCAATAAATATTTGTTGAACTAATGAAAATGTTTGTCTTTCTAGCTTTCCCTTTTCTTGTGTCCTGTATAATTTTGTGTATATGTGTATATCTGACTTGCTTGTTCTGTTTCTATGTTTCTCTTGTTTCCTCAAAAATCTCTTTGTGTCTCTTATAATGACTTGGACTTTGTCATTATATCTCATTCTTTATCCATTGGTTGGTTGTGTATACTGCATATCTGTCTTTTTCATGCATGATGGTTTCGTCTACTACCCATTTTCACTATATGTAGCCAGCCCCAAAGGTCATAATGTAAAATCAATGTACATTTGAAAAATAACTTTTGAGGCAAGTGTGGTGGCACATGCCTGCATTCCCAGCACTCAAGAGGCTCAGGCAAGCAGACGGCCATGAGTCCAAGCCCAGTTTGAATACATAGTGAGTTTAAGATCAGCCTAGACTACATAGCAGGACCCTGTCTTGGAAAAAAATGAATAAATAAATAAATGTAAAAAAGCTTTTGAAATATAATGTAATAATTTAACTCCATTTACTGTGATTTTGCCATTTAATTTACTAATTTCATATTTGTTCTTTACAGATGCTTCCCTATTAAGCCTTGAAGTGAATGAGCAAAGATTTTTCTCTTTAGATAATGGCCATTTGTACCTTAACTTTTTTTTTTTTACTTAAATGGCTCTTATACAGTTTTGTATGAATTATAGACCTATGTTAGACAAACTAGTTTCAAATCTCAATATATAGAGCTTGTATTTTCTTTTTATTAAGTTTGGATTTTTTTGTGTGTGTGTTTTCTTTTGCTTTACCTATTTTTGCAGTAACTTTAAAATCATGTCAGTAATGATTTGGTACTAGGAATCATCGTCTCCAATAGTCCGTTTTCAGCTTCAGGGAGCACAACAGCTGACTCCTGGAGCAGAATTTAAGAAAAATCTCTTCATTAATTAATCACTGTCATCTACTTGGAAAACTACATTTTTCCAGTATAGGTTTCTGCCATCCTAGCATGCAGCCTGAGGCCAGCAAATTGGGCTCTGTCACTCATAAATCAAGTTCAGAATTTCATGTCTAGTCATTTGAGGCTACAGTAGTAAGTTGAAGTCTAAAAAGGACATTGTTTCACTAGATTTGCTGTGAATTATTCTGTACTTAGCCTCTACATCAGATAATTAGAGCAGATGCACACAAAGTTGAAATGGAAGAAAGGAAGGAAAAGAGAAGGAACTTGACAACATAAATTTGCCAAAAATATATGTGGGGGAAACTAAATAATCTTCACTCTGTAGGATACTTATGTAAAACAATAAAGTTTTATGATTAAACAAAAGTAGCAAAAGTTTTATATAAAACAAAAGTTAAGTTTTATAAACAGGGTAGAGTGAGACAACCAAATCAAATATTTATATTCAGTCAACATCAAGCCTGTAATAATTCCTAAATATGCAGTGATTATGTAACAGTGAGCTGAATTTACTCATGGTGGCAGCAGTCCCCAAGATTTCTCATTAATACATTTGAATTCATTTTAATGGCTTTTATTAAATGAGAATGCACTGAAAAACAAAATGCTTTGATCTTTCAGGTTTATAATATATTTTCTTTTCAACAATATAACTGGAACACATTTGTGAGGAAGAATTTAGAAGAAATGGCTTAGATCCTGGTTAACACCCATCTTTTTCAATTCAGTGAACTTTTGTTGAGGGCTTGCTTTTCTGGATTAATTGCTTTCCTATTTCTCAAGCAAAATCCTCAACACCCACAACTTAAAGGAGAAGAAATTGATTTTGGCTCACAAATTCAGAGGGTTCAGTGTATGCATGGTCTGCTGACTT